AAGCAAAAATAGCAGATAAACAATGTACAGATTCATGAAGGAACCAATTCCTTCACACTCTCCAAACCTGCAGTTGATCCATAAGGCTCAGCGCAAAGAATGGTGAAATTCAAGCCCTTCTTTCTAGATTTTATCTCATGTCTTTAGGGAGACAGAGGGAGGTCTAAAAGTGCCAAAGAAGGAATCATGCCATGTCAACATGTCTAAAGGTCACAGAGCCAAAGATCATGGGGGACCACAGGGGTTACGGAGTTTAAAGTCAACATGAAACGGCATTCTCAACCCATTTTACTTCCAAATGTGACAAATGTCCAGGTAAAACAAGAGAAACAGACTTTTGACTATCAACAAAGTCTGGTACAATTTCCAGGTTATTGTGTACAAAAATTGACTATTTAGACAAGAAAGACACTGTCTGGCTGACATTAAAAGAGCCCAAACACAGCTTGCTGTGTTTTTACATGTTGGTTAAAGGGGAGTTTATCCAAAATTGATGATATACTAATATATATATATATATATGATATAAAATATGGTGCCCTTTGTGAAAAGAAGTAAACTTTAGGATATAGATTGGGACATGTTTTCCCCATCTCACTGGCAAAAATAGTCCCAATTTACCTGAATTCACCCTACTCTAAAATAAAATACTTAAATGCATGTCATTTGGAATTAGGGATGTAACGATTACCGGTTTGACGATAAATCATGATAAAATTGCCCACGGTTAGTATTACCGTTTCATCTTTTAATTATCATTAAAACCGTATTAGATTACCGCGATTTGAACAACTCACGATAAATAAATACTGTCCAGCATAAAGCAGTTTTAAGTAACAGTCTCACGTGCGCACAGCACGCAGAGTAGTTTCGTTTTGAGTGAAAACAGGGTGGAAAAGCTGGGAGGTTTTAAAAGAGTACTAAGGGAATTATACAAATGAATATATTAATTAATTAACTATATGAATGTACCTCTGAAGGTTCTGACTGTCTTCAGAAACGATTCGATGGCATTTTGTTTTCATCTTCGCTCCATGTAATACCTAAAGGAATTAATCGCAATACTGCTTTGTCCACGGAGTTTACGGGAAACAGCTCTATTTCAGCTTTTCCATAAGCGCCACCTGCTGTCAGTGAGTGGATTTACAGAGACTTATATTTACATTCAGCCTGTGTGCAGTTTCTGTCTTGCCAAAAACGGACCGAGTTTGCATGCCCTGCTGTAAATTTTGACCGGTCGATGAAAAACAGTGTGGATTCTACACATTTGAACAATTCGGATAAGTTATCTAGAATTATTTATGGAGCAGATAAAATACAATCATTTATTAATCAACTATCATTTTGACATATCTTTTCTTTGTTTAAAGGCTGAAATGTGAGGTTTACCTTTTTATGAAACGTTTTCAAAGCTTTATTTGAACATTTACATTAGATATTTGAACATGCTATTAAACTGTTGTCAGTCAAGTTGTCATTTAAAATCCGAACATCATTGGCAATGTTATTGTTTTAGTGATTATGCAAACAAAAAGTCATTTTATTTGTTGTTTGTTGATTTTTAAATATAAAACTTGGTGAAGGGATTTATGTGTCGGTACTTTTTGAACATCTCCAGCACGATAAAAGATTATTAAAACAATGGATTTAAAATATACTCTAAAGTAAAACTTTTAATCTGACATTAAGTATATCTAAATGTGTTTAGAATCATAGTCATGAAAGTGTATCTCTTAAGTGGGCTTTTATTTCATTAATATTGACTGCATTAATATTGGTAGAGTTTTTAATACACTGGTTAGATTTGAAATACATTACAAGTGTGCATTCAATATGATTAAGTGGACTTCTTTTTCTCAACAAGTGGCATTAACTGAAGTTTTATAGAAAATGAAGGATATTTCATTTTTGAGTGAAATTTATTTGTGTTTCATGTTACCACATGACTACATCCAGGCAAGAGGCAGGGCAAGTCTGCTGGAGATGATCCATCTTCCAGCTCTCATCCAAAGTCACACATCTATTGGAGATCTGCCCCATGAGTAACAAACACAGTCCAGGAGTTTATTTCTTCCCTAGAAACCAATCAACACATACGTCTCAACCTTGCCCCTTGAGATCTTCCTTCCTGCAGAGTTCAGTTTCACCTCTAACCAAACACACCTAAACCAGTTAATCTAAAGGCATTAGTCCCAATCTGTGCATAATATGTAGTGCTTTAAAGATTAGTACATCCAGTGTCAGTGGTGCTCATCCATTTCAAAGTACTTATTTTACATCAAGCATGTACTTTTAATGTGCAGTAAAAGTATGCAAATTGGGTCTCCGTCAAGCTCCTGGGGTTCATTCCAAATTTATGGCCTGGTGTGTTTGATTAGAGCTGAAAATAAAACTCAGCAGGAACCAAGAACCAGGTTATGTAAATATGCTTTATAGCCTCAATAAATGAGTAATATATCATCAATATATTCCAAGATTCTGCATGGAAGAAATTCACTGCCGTGCAGTGGAAGCTATATGCTCTGCAGTGGAAGTAAACCATTCACTGTGACTGCCTTACCATTATTTGATTTATTTCCCATGCTGGTCTACTATTCTGCCCCCAAAATGTAAAGAACCGTAATTGTTCGCTTCTAAACAAACAGCCCCTTGTCATCTTTGGTGGGTGGTTCTCGGCCAGAATGAGCTGCAATGCAGACCAGATTTAATGCAGTTAGTCTGAAGTCTGGCTATGGGAGATTAGACTAAATTCGGCCTGGCTCTATCCGTAATTTTATCACTCTCATGGTTATTTAGTCAGGCTAGTGGAGGCAGAAAAAGCAATGTTACATAACACTGTGTAATGGATAGCAGAGTGTCTCCTGCAGTACTGAATGGACAGGATTGGAGCAGAAGGTGTGACGCCAGTTCTAATATTTCTCGTGTGTGGAAGTTAACAGCTATCAAAAGGAATATACACTCTTAAAAATAGTCTAGTACACCCCCAAAACAACATCAAGACTTTGTAAAAGAGCATAATAGGACCCCTTTAAAATTGGGGTTGCAGCTACACCATAGAGGAACTGAGTTCTAAAAAAAATCTTTCAGTGAACAATTCTTAAAAGAAACATGTTTTTCTAGGCGTGAAGAACATTTTAACAATCTAAAGAACGTTCTTCCACTATAAAGAACCTTTGGTAGAATGGAAAGGTTCGATGGATGTTAAAGGTTCTTAATGGAACCATAGATGTTTATAAAGAACCTTTATTTTTATTAGTGTATTAAAGGCAAGCTGGTGATGCCTTATGCCAGGTATACGCTACATGATTTTCAAAGCTGTCAGATCGCTGTTGCCAAAGTTGACACATTACATGCCAGATGGGTGACTGAGAGGGTCGTCACACATTACACACTATTTCACTACGAAGAATCCAGACAACTCGGTCTCATTTACAGAACGAGAAGTGATACAGGGGATGACATAAGATCACGCGTGAGTGGAATTCTGGTTCGAGACTGGAATTCCTCCAAAGGAAAAGAAGCAGCTCGCGCTCCAGGCTGTCCATATGCTGATTTGCAGTGAAAAACAACAACAACAACAAAAACAAGAATATGGAGGAAAGAATGGTTGGGGAGATGACTCTACCCCATGAAATTTCCTTTGCCCCGTTATCTTGCTCTATTATTGGCTGTAGGTCATCATAACTCATAACTGCAGCAATACAGGTGGTGCAAATAAAAGACACATGATGAATCAGAGTGGGCTGTCCATTAAAAATGGCCAATAATTTAAAATAGATAGTGCACATGATCATACACAAAGACAAAACACCATCAAGCCACTTAAATAAAAACATCATGACACTAAAATAATCCAATAAATATAAAAATAATAATAATAATAATAATAATAATAATAATAACAGAAAACATAACATAGAACATCCTAATGTAATAATAACAAAAATAGGAAAGAAAAAAAAAACCACAAAACAAAAGAATTTATACAAAATACATATCCATTTCACCGTTACACTATATGTTAAGTGATTACTTTGTTTATCAGCCCCGTTTCTGAACTCTATTCTAGAATTTATGGCCACAGGACAAGATTTGCACTGTCATCATGAATGACAATTACAAACAAACTGAAAAGTAAAACATACAATCTCATAACAATAATGAAAACTCTTGAAAGAACTCTTGAGACTCTCTTGTATTGCTGGGAACCGTTTGGTAATCAGCTGTGAACCCTTGATAACCCCTGACCAGCGTTCAAGTGCTGCCACTTCATCCTTAAACGAATTATACAGGCTGCCACAATTTAGAGTTGTGCGTACAAAAACCGCAAATAAATAGCGCGATTTTTCATATCTGCTCTTTTAAAACATGCAATGCTTATGGCACGAGACTTTTTTCTTTTCTTTTCAGACACGACACACAGGAGACCCGTGCTGAAAAAAACTAAACAATAGAAACAATCACAGACATGTTTAATGGTTTCCACTACAAGTGCCATTACAAACCATCAACTTTTAACCATTAAAACCGTAAAAAAAAATGGTTAGGATTTATTGGTTTTAACAAGCCACCAATAGAAGGCGACCAGTAGAAACCCACAGTGTCCATTACGGTTTCCATTAAAACCACAAGTCCCATTATAACCAATAAAACCATTAAAATCTTGTAATGGTGTCTATTGTTTTTTTTTTTTCAGCAGGGAAACCACTTTGACATCAACAATTGAAAAAATATCGTGGAACGACTCTTAAGGAAACGTTTACGCAACACGTTCATGCGTCGAAAAACGCGCAACAAAATGGAACTGAACGGATCTGGATTGGAGACACATTTTAAAAAGCTGAACTGTTTTGAATCTTGACGGGCCGTCTTACAAACGCTGCACTCATGACGCGAGGCCAAAGACGCCAGTCCGACTCATGTGTGATGCGCACACAAACCTAATCAACAATAGTGTAGAGGAAACGCAAGGTGCGCTGAATGGCCAGGACGCATCTTACCTGTACAGGTGTTTGTTGCACGGGGATGACTTCAGCTTCTACGACAGGAGCGACAGGAACGGGTTCTTCCCTTTTCTTTTCAATAATCGCCTCCTTCTGTACTGGAGCTGGTTGCTCTACTATGGGCTGGTGATACTCGGTAACCCGCTCGGATTTCTCATGCTGTTTCTGTTCTTTCTTTTGCGCAGTTTTTTTCGCCAGGAACGCCGATGCAACTATAATGGCAATAATCGTAAAGAAAAGTGCGGACAAAATAACGGGCGCGTCTATAGTCATGATTGCCTGCTGCTGTTGTCGTTATTGTGGCATGTAAGAGCGGACGCCTGTAAGACGCGGATTAGTGACCGCCTCGGCTCGTCCCGTTAGAACGCTTCTGAGCGAGCGATCTCATAAAGCCCATGTGCCAGAGACGCTTTCTGAAATGGCTGTGTCTTAAATCCTAGTCAGCTGCCTACATAGACAGCAATTCAGGGGCGCACTAGGACGCGCCTCCGAGTTCCAAAAGACGAACGATCCAGCGTTCTGAACGCTTACAATAAATAAAATGTATTTGTAACCAGTCATACCATTTCAACAAAATTATCTTAAATTATGAATAGCTCAAGTGCATGAATAGGCTAATAGATCAAATGAAATGAACGGGCATCACGTTCCAAACGCAACTATTGAGGATTCTAAAAATGCTGCTTCTTGCTGATACCCATAAATGCTAGTTAGGCAGGTTATTAGTAGGTTTTGAGACACAACCAATGACTTTCAAAGCAGCGTCACTCCCTAAAGGACAGCCCACCTTATTAAAGGAGCAACACTGTGAGGCGCAAAAGAAGTTTCTTTCTTTTTTTTCTCGTATGTTTTGAAAAATAACATATTTTATTGTGATGGACAGTATACGTCCCTACTGAACTTATACTAGTATATCTTTTAGAAATGTATAGAATTTTACCAGACTGCGAACAGTAAATTGTCCTTATAATGTTGATGCAGTATGGTTATATTTTTAATGGATATCGCTGCTTATAGCCTATATCAGATCGCAATATATTTCGCATTCTCTTTAAAACTAACTTTAACCTTCTAATGCATGACTTAACTTTTTTTTTCTTATAAACAGCAACACTGTTTCCAATAAATGTAATTGTTCTTTAAACAAAGGCGTAGTTTACACGTTTTAAAATTGTGTGAAAGTAGGCTAGTTAAAATATCCTTGTGAAAGCTGCATCATTTAAAGGTGTTTTTTTAACCTTAAACCGCATAAACACATTTCATTACACCAAATACATAAAATAATGTTCTTTTTAGCAACATCATATGACCCCTTTAATAAGTTGAGTTCAATCAAAGTTACTACAAATACACAAGTAACCTAAAACAAATTAAGAAATAAAGTGTTTTTTTAATAAAAGTCTTATTGTATTAAAAAATAGAATTTTACCTCTAGAAACTATCTGGGATAAGAGATATTCTGCTGGTATTTGGTGCATGACCCCTTTGAATTGATCTCGTCATAAATAACCACAATGACGTATAGAGAGGAAATATGGCATGCAATGGTCAATAAAAATCAGCCATGGTGGTTTGAATGTACAGTCACACCCTGAACGGTTAAATATGCCCAGTGGATAACACGCAATATCTGGACAAAAACACTGAGAACACCAAGATAAATACATAGAAACCTTTATTAAACAATTATCATTAATAATTTTGTTTGATCTGAGCAACATCAAAGTGTCACATGACCGAGCCAGTGCTGAACATGGAACATGAGGAGCTGAAGTAAGAACATACCCTAGAAAAAACACTGAAGATCTGGAGGCTTCATCTAAGAGCACAGGCCATTCATTAAAACACTAACATTTGCAATTCAAAACCACAGCTCTGAGAAATATGAGAATGTGAAATATGAGCAACCTGAATGACCAACATCAGGTAAAAATAGGCACTTTTTAACCACATCTTTCTCCTTGACTCGTACACAAAGAAAGCACTGACACAACCCTCTCAACAACACTCACTTCGATCATTAAACGCCTCACACCATCACAACATAGAGTACTGTAGCCCTGAAACATTTAGGTCATGACAGGTCGCCATTTTTGGAGTTACGCTATTTCCTTCAGTTAAAAAAAAGAATTGAAAACATACAAAAACATTTTAAGACAATATAGGCTAGTCACGTTTTCCATTTTGAACAGGAAATGTGGATTTTCATGAATTATGATTGCAAGATTTTCCCCCTCTTTGCGTGGCTCATAGCGCACTGTATAATAAATAAGCGCCTCCTAGTGTTTCACTTACGCAGAGGGGTTATAAAAGAAAAACACCTCGTATTTCAGTTAGTTGAGCTAAATTAACCATTGAATTTACTGCTAATAGACGAAAGAGAAGAAAAGTCGAGTTCAAACGTTTTTTTGCGCATTCACAGTAGTTCCAACTGAAGAAAAGGTGCGTTCAAACTTTTGGCTCCACTACAATGTTATTTAGGCAATACAAAGCTTCGCACATGAGATACCGACAAAATATTTACCGTTTTCACAAATTTAGAATTCGTTCCCTAATTTTAGTAAATTGAGGCCAATTTTTTGTTCAAAATTGAAACAAGGGAACAAATTAGTACGAGGTCAGCCACAATTTACTAAAATGAGGGAACGAATTAGACAAGGCAAACAAGGGATATAAGGAATTCTTAATTCGTGCAAACGATAGAATATATGAAGAGTTTATTTGCAAAAACAGATAACTCCATTTTTTTAAATTTCAAAAATCATGTTTTTTTTTATTACGTTATCATATTTTTATTGTGTTTTATTGTGCTAGTTAGCTGTATTTTTTAGTTATTTTTTACCTAATCAAAATAACCCAACTGCAGTTTGATTGAGATTAATTGGAATGCACAATGAAAAAACATGATTTTCTCAAAATTGTTAAAAACGGAGTTATCCGTTTTCATATATCACATGTAGTGTGGCGCTTCATAAAGGGCTTCTAATTTAAAGTTTGAGACACTTTAAATCAAAATTCTTATCTAGAAGAGTGAGAAAAGGGACCAGAAATCACTGCTGTTTAACAGTTGTAAGTACTATGGGCTAGTTTAACCAAAAGACAAGAAACCCATGTTTAAGTGCAGCTCAAGAATAAAGTAGAATCAGTAATAAAATAATCTATTTTCTAGAATCAAAGAGCTAAAGGCAGCATTACACATCAGGTCAACCATATTACCCTAGATGGGTCATGATACATCTCTCACAAATCTGCACATAACCCCTGTGAAATACAAAAACGGCATCTGTTCTGAATCAAACGCAGATTAACGACGTTGGCACTGGGACAGGAGGAGACGCCAAGCTTCCTGTCCAGAGCCTGACATCAGCAAAGGCAACACAAGAAGGGTTTCCCTTTTCTTCTCACACACAGCTGTTGACTCATTCATGCAACGCTCCTCCAGCAAGCACATATTTGGATATTTTGTTCGTGTTTATCTCTAAAAGCGCACTAGGGCAGAGTTTGTTATCATGTGCGCAGACGTGACGCAGAGGCAACCTCTTATCTAATGGACAGGACTCTCCTGAGGGCGACAGAGAGAGCATGACGTTTCATGGTCTAGGAGACGATTATGGCTGCAGCCCCTCTGTTGTCGAGCGGGACGTCACCGAGACGAACTGCGCTCTTTGCTCACGCAGTCGTCCTGGCTTGTGATGTCACCGTTCCCCATCATGCCACAGGTTCTCCTCTTCTTTCTGCGATGGGTCATGGCGTCGCCCTCAGAGCCCGAGTCAGCCTTCAGGGAAAAGGACAAATGTGAGAACGTAAGCATCTCATGTACACATGAAAATATCCTCATTGGGATTTAATGAATACAGATGAAAATGTTTAAATGTTCAAAAACATACCTTGGTTAGTTTTAACTAGATTCACAATCTGTGTTATTTCTTGAATTAAACAAATTTATGTGCATTTTGAAAGGCTCGTTTTGATTGAAATGAAGGTTCCTCTGATTTGGGGCAAATTGTTTGTATAAAAATAAACCGATTAGATGCATATTACTGCAGGACAGGAAGGGATCAGGAATATTCATAATAATCTCTTATACTCACCAAGGCTGCATTATTTAAAAAAAAAAAAAAAAAAAATTGCAATATTGTGAAATAATCACAATTTAAAAAGCCGTTTTCTATTTGAATACATTTTAAAATGTAATTTATTCCTATGATGCAAAGCTGAATTTTTCATTACTCCAGACTTCAATGTCACATGATCCTTCAGAAATCAGTCTAATATGCTGGTTTGCAGATCAAGAAACATTTATGATTATTATCAATGCTGAAAACAGTTAACGCGTTCTTGAAGAACCAAACTATCAAAAAAAAAAAAAAGTTAAATTTTAATGACTCCTGTTTACATTCAGGCTGTTTAATATGCATTTAATTATTACTATTATATGTGTGTGTGTGTTAGGGATGGGCAGATCGATCCTTAAGTATCGATACTTTCGATACTGATGTTGTATCGAAAGGATCGATCCTCACATAAAAATATCGATTCTGAAGTGCATTTTTTTAAACATTAATTTTATTTACTTATCAAGAAATTCGGTGCATAAAATAAGCTTTTAAGTGGAAAAATAAGACTATATTAGCGAATAATTGTGTTGAATAGAACCATTTCTCCTGCTCATCGGAACACACGCAAATGCTGAAAGACAGAACCAATCAATCACAGACAGCGTTCGCTGCTGACGCATGGCTCAGAGTGCTTGTTCAAATAGGGCTGCGTTTCCCAAAAGCATCAGAAGCATAAGTAGATCTTAAGAAACCATTGACACATTATTACATTACATTACATTGTTACTATAAATAAAATTAATTGCGTTGTTGGCAGGGCGGCCAGAGCGATTTTTGACGCTCTCGACGGTGGCGGTGTGAACGCACAGTTAGGGGTGCAACAGCCTGGCAGCCTTTTACAAAAATGAACCATGGTTTTATTACAGTAACCACAGTTTACCACAGTATTTGTAGTAAAACTGCAGTAACCACAAATTTACCATGATAATAATAATAATAATACTACATTTTAGTACTTATGTAACACCATGTTTATTTTTCATGAGGTACCCTCAAAGGTGCACCTTTGTAACTTATCTACCCTTAAAGCATGCATACTTGAATGGTACTAATATGCTCACTTTTAGGGGTATAGTTGCACCTTTGAGGTTACTGCCCCATTAAAGGGCTAAAATATACAATCATAGTATATTTTATTTCTAAAAGTGTAAATAATGAAAGAGAGACAGACAGACAGACAGACAGACAGAAAGACAGGCTAACAGATAGATAGATAGATAGATAGATAGATAGATGTTATAGAAATATGTATAGAAAATACAGATATGACTACTTCATTAAAAGTTCTTTGAGGATTGTAAACCATTTCTGACATTTGAATACTAATTTAAATCAAATAGTAACAGTGCATAATACACTGTACTGTTCAATGTGAATTCATTGCGCCCTCTAGCTTGTGTTAACTGTACTGCCCCTGTTTTCACCATCTGTTCACATAGTTAGTGAATGAGAGTGTTGAAAAGAAAAAGCTTAATTAAATTATCAACAGTTATTAGCTCTGTCGTCTAGGCCTAGTTACATGTAGAGCTTGGCCACATGGTGGGTCAGTCGGTGAGCAGGTGAATCAGATGGAGGTGTTCAGCAGCTCATGTCAGGACTCTAGTATAGGAGTTTGTGTGTGGGGTTCTGCAGGAACAAGCTGTACCTCTGAATCAGAGTCGGAGGAGCTGGAGGAGGAAGAGGAGGACGAGTCACTGGAGCTGTCCGAGGCAATGCCTGTTGATTCCTGCAGGTCGACTTTATCTGCCAAAGCAGCAATATCAGGCCTCTCCTGTTTCAGGATCCTGAGACACACGTGACAAACTTCATCACAAACCGACTTAAATAATCAAAACAACTACCATTTCTCGAAATATACATTTCCACATATTTTCCCACTTACAGCTTGATTGGACATGACGCACAATACTATTGTTTTGCTGCTGTTTTTTTTTTTATACACCTTCACGTCTCATGTCTTCTAAAAATGTTCACATTTTTAATACACTAACTTTTGATAAACTTTGTTAGGGGTAAAATTGTTTGTTGTGGAACAAAGGAACAAGGCCCATTTGAAGAGCAGCAAAAATATAAACATCTTTAATAAAAAGTAACTTAAGTGAATGAAGAAATCAGGTGTACAGAGCAGGGTCTTACCGGTACCACTTTCTGGAGAGTTTGGGGCGACCTCGCACAGTCTTGTGCCACACGATGGGGAAGTTAGTGGTGCTCGCAAAATTCTGGGTCACAGCAATAGCCATGTCCAGATTGAGGACAACATGCCACCATCCGCCTACACAAAACATAGGTTTCAACCTCAATTACAATCACGGCTGCATGATTTGTTGCACAAGAATATATTATTTTAACAACAATTGTGGATTTGAACTGCATTATTATCATTTTGCATCTCCACTGCGGATTAGATATAATTAACATAAGCATTATAATTTTATTATATAGGCCTAACTTTTAAGATGTTCCTCAAAAACATTTACTGTGAACAATAAAGTCAAGTCTGTATCTGTCAGATGTTTTTTGCATTCATCTGAGTGATCGGTTTTCTTCAGATGGGATGATGGGTGTGACTGACCTAAGTGTGTTTTTTGTTATGAGTATAGGTCTTATGAGTAGAAGGCTTCTACATTTCACCTGCTTTCATACTAATACTTTCTGTTTTGACTGAACTGAGCAGCTAAATTGCACTCAGATGGTTTCTTTGTTATGCCAACATCTATTTAAAGTCGATGACTAACAAAGCCTGAACAAGCGCCGTAGATTCCTTTCCAGTCTCATAAACACCATGAGGTATGAAGCTTGAATGCCAAATATTAGAACTGATAATCCACTTCAGCACAAAATAGTGGAACACGACTGACCCGTCAGTAAAACATTTTGAAACCAGTCCAACAAAACAGATATGTGTTGTGTTGTATGGAATAACACTGTTCCTATTTATGACTTCAGAAGTTGTGAAACGGAAAGTCAAATCGGTCTACTGCATTGTGGGATTCCACATGTGCTCTGGTTGCGTACACTTTTCACAAGTATAAAAATCAAGGATCAATGCCAGACGTAATCATTCTGCCCTGTGAAAGTGCCAAAATATGAGAACCTTGTCAATGGAAAGTAAATGTGTGTAAAATCAGCTCAGTGCAGTAACTGACCGGGCACAAACACAGTCTCTCCAGGATGCTGAAGGATCTCCAGCGGTCTGAACTCGGCTGGCCAGGTGGGCTGCTGTGTGCGGGGATAGATGACGTTGAACCAGGTGATGGCCTCGTCCTGCTGGTTTCCCCCGTCCTCTCGCGTCACCTTGATGAGCTCACGGGGCGTGTGGGTGGGGAACAGGCACCAGCGTTTGTGGCCCTGCACCAGGGCGTTCCACGCACTCGTGCCGAGCGGGTCAATGTGGATGCCTGTTCCAGAACGGGCAGGACCCATCACAATCCACCTACATGAACAGGACAAAAAAATAGCCTTAATGAACTAAAAACATACATGAACTACAATTAGTGTCTGAAATTTTTATAAAAACATTACAAACACAATAAAATCATTATAAAACATTTATTATTTTAAAAAAAACTCTAAAAATTTAAGTTTTTTTCTTTTTCTAAAAAAAATGTAATTTAAAAAAAATTACATTATATTGATTGTCCTCTTTGGGGGAATCAATCAAATCAAATGTACCTAATATTTATTATATTACATTATATTAATGTGAATTTCCTATTTGGGGGAACCGTCAAATTTATATTATATTATTTTATATTATATCATATATATATATATATAAAACTTAATTTCAATAAAGTTTATTAAATTGTTACATTTTTTCCCTTTTCAAAAAATATGAAATGTCATTTCTTTTTAACAAATGTAATTGAAACAAATAAAATAAATAAAAATGTTCTATTTTTCAACAAAAGTAATAACTAATATCCAGTGTTGGGCAGTAACTAGTTACAGTAATATTACTTTTTGCAGTAACTAGTGTAACTAATTACTAATAAGATTTTAGTAATAACATTACAGTTACTATCCATAAAACAGCTAGTTTCTTAGTTACTTTCGATGCCTCAACCCCTACTGATTTAAAATATTATATTATTTTATATTATATCATATATATATATATATAAAACTTAATTTCAATAAAGTTTATTAAATTGTTACATTTTTTCCCTTTTCAAAAAATATGAAATGTCATTTCTTTTTAACAAATGTAATTGAAACAAATAAAATAAATAAAAATGTTCTATTTTTCAACAAAAGTAATAACTAATATCCAGTGTTGGGCAGTAACTAGTTACAGTAATATTACTTTTTGCAGTAACTAGTGTAACTAATTACTAATAAGATTTTAGTAATAACATTACAGTTACTATCCATAAAACAGCTAGTTTCTTAGTTACTTTCGATGCCTCGACCCCTACTGATTTAAAGTCCAACAATCCAAGAATTCCTAGATTTATTTTCAGAATTTTCACGACTTGCAAAGACACATGAAGTCACCAGTGCAGCAGGCATATGGAATATGAAAAAGCTTACATTCAGCGGATGGAAATATTGGCATTATATTGATTTTGTCAGGAGAAAAGATGATCTGAACACTGATGTGTAAGTTGTGGCATTACTTTACTCTGACATCACATGGCCCACCCACCTCTGACCCCTAAATAAATTGCTTAAAATCTTTTTAGAGAATGAAACATTTTCTTATGAACTTATGTGATTTATTTTGATAAAATACATCATGGAATATAATCGTATATGGGTATAACAGAAATTATAGCTACAATTAGCTTCAAGCTACACATGACAACAGTTTAAAGTTGGAGCTAAACTCTGCAGGACACCGGCCCTCCAGGACCGAGTTTGGACAGTCCTGACTTAACCGTTACTATTAATCACCACTGAGTGTCGTGGTGTAATAACTTCTGACTGCGATCCAATGTGGATTTTGGTCAAATTATGAGGCAGAAATATATTGTTGGTAACATTTTAGAAGAATTTAATGGGGAAGATATGCAACTTATGTGAGGCGTGAAAGAAAAGTAATGTAACTAGTAGTGTACCTAATTACTGTTGCCAGAAAGTAACAAGTAATAATATTATTTTTGAAAGGAGTAACTAGTAATGAGTAATATATAAAATTTTTTGGGTAACTAGCCCAACACTGATTATATCATACTATAAATTTAGCATTTTCATTCTGTTATATTATGCTAGGTAATAGTTTCATTTCTAAAACTTCTCAATACAAAAGAAAAAAAAAAAGAAACGTACCTCTAATGTTTTTTTTTTAAACCAAAGCTTGTTAAGCATCAATGTTTATTAAAATCAGCAAGGCTGAAACTGAGAAGTGATGCAAAGAAAGGAAGCGTTACCTGTACGGAGGACGGCGCTTCTCCCCCGCAAACTGAAAGAGGTCGTCCCTAAAGAAAACTGGCACCTGGTAGTCCTCCAAAAGCTTGCGGCGCTTAGCATGCTCACCGAAACTGCTATCAAAAATGTAGAGGGGGCTGTCGTCATGGGTTGACTCCAAATACTCCACGTAGTACTTCATTTTCATCTTGACAGAGTAGCCATCATTGTCCTCGCCGCATTTGAACTTCTGGTTGCGGTATTTGCGCTTGAGTCGCTCCAAGGTCCACTTTTCCCGGGCTGGCCACGAGTCTTGGCAGTTCAGCAGAACGACGGGCTTATACGGTTTCTCAAAGCGCTGAATGAACTCCTCAGGACTGAGACGCTGGGTGTCCACTCGCTCCACGTTGTCCTGGACAAAGACAGGCAAGCCGTTTTTATTTTCTCTGAAGCTTTTTACAATCATCATTTCACAGCAGCTTTACAGAAAGTCATACATAAACACCAGAGCACTTAAAACCAAAGTTGAAGGCCAGTGGATGATAATGGTTAACAGGACAAGCAACTCACAAGTTCCTGAATGTGATTGAATTTAACCTTCAGATTAAAAACCAAAGTCAGTTCTTGTTTGTTTTTTACAGTAGATAAAGCCAAAAACTTTAGGAGACCATCAAAAGCATCATAAAAGTCAACTGCCAGGATTGATGTCAATGGCGTTTGACCATGAAACCCCAACAACAACAACATCACTGTGTTGATGGGCTTTATTACTACTTGGTCAGTTTCTCAAAGCTATACAATACTTTGGAATATAGTTCATAAGTGGTACTTAATTTATGGTGTTTTTGTCTATTTTAGAGGTAGACAGTCACATGAACTACTGTTGCATGAAGACTCTGTTCTGGGTTTCTGAGCTAAAATGTACTGACAGTACAATAAAGTCCAAGGGCTCTAAGACAGATCTAGATCCCTTTTGGTTTAGGATTGGGAATTTAAGAAAAACTCCATAAACCTAAGGACCCCATGACAACAGCGCACTGTTCGCCTTAGACAGGGTCTCTAAAATGGCTCTGGTCTCGCTGGTCAGATTATTTTTAGCCACTCCATGAAGATTTTCCTGCGGTTGAGCTCTTCACAGACACAGGAACCCCATATGCAATGAGTCAATTGCAAACGAACTTCAATTACATTTGACAGCATCTATCAGAGCTGATGGGACCTTAATCTGGTTTCAGAGAGGGCACACGAATGCTTTTTAGCAGAGAGGTCATTAGCTGACCCTCACATCACTCCGAACCTGTTTGCTGTCTTGTGTGTATATTTTTTTCCCTGTGATCATTAATGGAGTTTGTCACACAGCACTTCATATGCAACAGCACTTCACAGAGACATCCTGCAAGCTTCAAAAAGGACAAAAATCATGATAGTAGGCAATAAGACTCGAGAAGTCAGCTGGCAGGACTGATGTCAATGGCATCTGTTCACTAAACACCAATGACAAAAAAAAAAAGTTTTTATATTATTGTATGACTTCAGAATATAGTACATAAGTGGTATCGACCAATTATTGGTGTTTTTGTGCATTTTAGGAGGTCAGTATTCACAAGAAATACACTACTATTGTATGAAAACAGTGTCATTTTGCTTTGTGTGTTCCAAAACAGTAATAACAACACAGTTTTAGAGCAGTTACTCTCAAAATTTTGACTCCAAAGTACTGTGTTTTGTTTTCGAACTCTTTTTTTTTTTTTTTACAGAAGCTATGAGGGTCTATAGATAAAAATAAAATACTAACAATTATTTTTACAATTAAGGATTCCAGAATTTTTAAGAGTCAAAAGTTCTTCAAGGTTTCCACTCTTTGTACCTAATGAATTTACTTGACTTTTCCAGTCACTTGTGACTTATATGTATACTCACACACATTTTACATTTAATCATTTAGCAGATGCTTTTATCTAAAGCAACTTAGAAGCAAACTAACAAAACAGCAACAATATATATATATTATAGTGCTGTGCGTACTATTATATATAATATAGTGCTGTGACAAGTCCCAGTTAGTCTAACGCAGTAGTTTTAAAAAAAATAATAAAGAAAAAGAAAAAAAGTAGATATAACAGAAATAAAATAGATAGAGCTTGTATTAGGGAGTCAAGTTTTCTTATAATAAATAAAAAGAAAACAAATAGAATAGAAATATAATAGAGTGCTAGTTAGAGGGTCAAACTCTCAATTTCTACCAAAAAAAAAAAGATTTTAAGCTCAGCTTAACTATAAAAAAAATTACAGGTAAGCTAACACTTTAGTATAGGGACCAATTCTCACTATTAACTAGTTGCTTATTAGTATGCCTATTATTAACATATTGGCTGTTTAAAGCACATATTCTGCATGACCATTAATAAGTGGCAAATTAGGAGTTTATTGAGGCAAAAGTTGTAGTTAATAGTTTGTTAATAATAAGAATTGGACCTTAAAATAAAGTGTGAACAAATTATATTCTCGTTTCTTAATGCATAATTAATAGCTATTATAATAGTAAGTACATGTAACGTGTAACAAGGACACCTTAAAATAAAGTGTTACCAAAGTCATTTTTAGGCCCCTTGTAAGTTTGCTGAGGCCTCCTAGTTGGCCCCGGGCCCCTGATTCAGAACCACTGTTATGATATAATATACCATGGTACTTTGTGGTACTGTATACATTCTAGAAACCTCTAAATTCTTCTGAAAACACCTCAATATGACGTATAAAAAACACAGTCTATCCTAAACATAAAATATGTTCATTACTGTTCGACTGCTCTAGCAACAATGAACTTTTAAAGTGCGTCTTTTTGCACGAGGAAGTGCGTACGTGCGCTGATGAACGTAGCCACCAAACCGCGATCCGACCACATGTGCATGTAACTTCAACAACCAACTACAAGACGCCAACGTGTAGCGTCCAGCTTTACCGGTAACGCCTGGGCTACGCGTTCCGCGGCGTAAACATCGTTACCTTCACTGTCCGGTGCGACACATCAAAGCTCTCGCAGTAATTGTGTTTGGTCCAGTCACTCGAGTCCTTCAGCTCGGGTCTGGCGCTCCGCTTCGCCTCTTTGATCCGTTTCTTACTTTTATGGTTCATTCTTCAGCGTTTCAGCGCGTCTTGCGTTTGGGTGACGCTTGTAGCTCGCGTGCTAACTGCAATGTATTGAAAGTCTATGGAGACTGAAGCGGCTAGCCAATCACTGGAGGCCTTGTAGAGGCGTGTGCAGCTCTTTTGCTGCCGACAGTGCTCTACGCAATACAGGAAACAAGTTATATTTATTTCAGAGAGGGAGGCGGTTGATATACTGAAGGGCTCGATAATAAACTAAAGTTAGATAACCTGATGGCAGCAAGCTTCTTTCACGCCTTATGGCGCAATCAAACCTAATAGCTTATTTCCCGCCCCCAAGGGATAATCCAAGAATCTGATTGGCTGGCTTTATGCATTTCACTGTCAGTTTGGAATCCGATTGGCTGTCGAGTGTACGAGTCGCTGTCCTGTCAGCAAACTGAGATCCAATAGAACTTCACAAGAGAAAGCGGCCGCCTTAACGTACTAGTGTGATTGGATGAATGGATTTAATGGCCGGAATTGTTCTGGAAAGCTGAAAATACATGTGGTCCAAGTCAAGTACTGGGAGCAGGTAAAACACCAGTAAGAGACCATGAATGAATCTTCTCAAACGCTAGTAGAGAAATCATTCACGTTTGAGGACTGTGGAGGCTCTCAGTCCTTAACTGTGTCTATTCCTGAGGTACAGCAAAGTTTTTAATACTTTATGTAATTGATTTGTTAATAATCTTGCAATAAACATTCTTATAATTCAGGTTCTTGATCCACAATATGGGATGTATGTTTGGCCCTGTGCGGTGGTACTGTCACAGTATGTGTGGATGGCAAGAAGTGAACTACAACACAAGACCGTTCTTGAGGTGACTACATCCCACTTACTGGTCACTTAGCTGATGCTTTGACTCACAATGTGGTCAATTCAAGTTCACATTCATGACTTTAAAGGGAGTCAACGCTGAAACATACACTTAGTTCCATATATATTTGGACACTGACACAGTTTTCATAATTTCGGTTCTGTATGTATCTGTACAGACTTTAAGCTTTAATTCAAGGGGTTGAACAAAAATATTACAAAATGCTTGGGAATTACAACCATTTTTATACACAGTCCTCCATTTTCAGGGGCTCAAATGTAATTGGACAAATAAATGTAATCATAAATAAAATGTTCATTTTTAATATTTTGTTAAGAATCCTTTGCAGGCAATGGCTGCCTTAAGTCTGGAGCTGATGGACATCAGCAGTGACTGGGTTTCCTCTTTTGTAATGCTTTACCAGGCCTTTACTGCAGCTGACTTCAGTGTTGTTGTTTGTTTGTGGGTCTTTCTGCCTTTAGTTTTGTCTTCAGCGAGTGAAACACATGCTCAACTGGGTTGAGATTAGGAGATTGACTTGGCCATTGCCGAATAATCCACTTTTTACCTTCAGAAACTCCTGGGTTGCTTTGGCTGTACATTTTGGGTCATTGTCCACTTGTACTATGAAGCGCTGTCCAATCAACTTTGCTCCATTTGACTGAATCTGGGCAGACAGTATTTTCCTGTACACTTCAGAATTCATCCGGCTGCTTCTGTCACGTCATCAATAAACACCAGTAACCCAGTGCCACTGGAAGCCATGCATGCTCGTGCCATCACACTGCTCCACATGTTTCACAGATGATGTTATGTGCTTTGGATCATGAGCTGTTCCAAGCCTCCTCCATACTTTTTTCTTCCCGTCATTCTGGTACAGGTTGATCGTAATTTCAGCCGTCCAAAGAATACTTTTGTTTTGGGGATATATTAAAGAAGGGGGTACAATTGTGATGAGAATACCCTCAAATTAAAGCTCAGAGTGTGCACTTTAAGCCCATATTCATTATATAACTGTAACTTGAATATGTTTTGGTCAACAGCTAAAATAATAAAAATTGTGCCTGTGTCCAAATAATATATGGACCTGATTATATGCTCTAATAGTTTTGCAAAACAACTTTCATTCACTATTACGTCCTCCTTTGTTACATTTTATTTATTGATTCACTTTTTTTTGTAATGTTTACTTTTAATAACTGGACCTAAAACGTGTCTGATGATGTATGCTGGACGTCTCCAATCGTTTAGTCTGCTTAAACCCCGCCCCTTTCTTACAATTGACTGCAAGCTCACGTTCATTTTTTGAGTGCCACGCCCACATCTCAACATCCAATCAACAACTGATGCACTGAACCAAGTACCTGCCATACATTTTTGTTTTTCAATAATACATTACACGCGGATGTACGAAGAAACAAATCTGTCACTATTTCCGTTTTATTGTGACTTTAACAAAATTGGTATGCCAAACATGACCTAATTTTTGCCGACACGTTTTTAAGTTCAAAATTTGCTGCACAGACACATAATCAAAACGTTTCTGTTATAACTGCATGTAGTGACTATACAAAAACAAACAACCAAAAACATTTCTTCAGAAGACGACTTTTAAATCTTATAATAAAATCATAAATTTAATTAATATTTTAGTTTGTGATAAGCTACAATAAAGACTCTCTGTGTTTTTTTGCCTGACTCTTTGCTGTCTTTTAAAGTGTATATTTTTGGCAAATTGTATGGAAACCAATGGGGCTCAATTTGACACCAAATTTTTGTGGGCATTTCGGGGGAAATTTGCGTTAGGGCGAAAGATTTTCCAATGCAGATTTTGCAATAGGTTCAAGCTGATCATGTGGATTTACCGCACTGACCAATAGAAAGCTGCTTGTTTGGAAAGTGACTTCTGTTTGAAATGGGATTTATACATTGCTACACTATTGACAATAGTCAATGCACCTTTTTTTGCTTGCAAAATTTCGCTAATGTGACGGACCTTAACATCGTAGTCACCAAATCAAGTACAGCCTTTCCAAAACATATATTTGTCAAAACCTCCCATGCACAATCCTGATCCTAAGTGAGGAGAGTGTGAGAAGAAATAGTTGTTAGCCAGTGTTTCAAGCAAGTTGAATTTGGGTCAAATTGAGGGAGGGTAATGAATAGTGTCTGTTTGTTGCAGCTCGGTGCTGGAGTGAGTTTGCCTGGTGTGGTGGCTGCCAAGTGTGGAGCTCGTGTGATTTTGTCAGACAGTGCTGAGCTCCCCCTCTGCCTGAGGAACTGCAGGCGCTCCTGTGACGTCAACCACCTCCCCAACGTACCTGTGATCGGACTCACCTGGGGACAGGTATCACCAGAGCTCCTCTCGCTGCCACCTGTGGATGTTATCTTGGGATCAGATGTATTCTATGAACCTGAGGGTGAGTTTTTTTTCCCTTGTTTTATCTTCTTTGTCTTACACAGGTTTCTAAGCATTGAACAAAACACTGCTTTGAACAGATTTTGAAGATGTGCTTGTGACCGTCTCCTTTATTGTGAGGAGAAACCCTCATGCTCAGCTCTGGACTACCTACCAGGAGAGAAGGTGATCTAACAAACATGCATTACTGACTATCATTTACCTTCCATAAACGTTTGAAATCCCACACTTTCTGACCAATGAAATTCTATGACATTTGTAGTTGTGTGTCATTCTTGGATAAGGATTTTAAAATAAAGTTTGATTGAGATTACACTCACAAGAACAGTTTGTAGCTTGTGAAATATGGCTTAATATTTTTTGGAACCTGTAATACTTTTTTTGAGGAGTTTGATGAATCCCGAATAAAGTATCATATATATATTACCCTTTAAATTACTTTTCCATTTTTGAAAATCACAACTTAAAATTCTCCATTATTTCCACAAACTGTGGGTTTCTGCAGGTTTCATGAAGGTAAATTCGAGACTTTTTTTTTAAAGATCATTTTAAGACCAAATAAAGAAACTTTAAGGAATAAACTGGATTTTTCAATGCAAATGTCTAAAGATTCCTAATTCGATAAGCAAAATGACACAAGTCTTGTTTTCTGTGAAATTGATCAAAATGAAGCGAGTGTGGAATTCAAACAAGAACCAATTATCTGCCAATGAGCTCAGCAAAGCAACTTAATTCAAAGGGGAAATTCATTTTTTAACCACTTAATTGTCACTCACATTTTTGAACATAGACGTGAAAGTGCACTATCCAAACTTAAATTTGTATAATTCATGAATGAAAACATTTTGTAACATGATATTGATGTACCATTTTCATGGCAATGCAATGTCTGCTTTTAAAATGGTTTTCAAAGGATGAATTTTGAGATTTTAAGTTTTCAACTGATATATAATTTCTGATGATTTCTAAAGTGTGATAGAGAAAAAGGCAACGAAGACGACTTTTTGTGACAAAGGTCAGAACTCCTGTTATGATGTATATTTTAGGTTTTAATACCCAATTAAGCATAAACTTGCTTAATTGTTAGTTTCCCAGAAAACAAGAATGCATATCTTCATTTTTATGTTATGCAACATTTAATGCCATGATTTTAAGAATTTTATTTTCTGCTCTCATTTAAGACTGTATAAGGCCTTAATTTGTGGAAGGACGAATTAAGACTATTTAACACCTGAAGGAATCTTGTAAAAATAGTTTGGAACTGATAAGGATATTAAAAGGGATCTCCATTCACAATTATTCATCATCCATAATGCCTATTTAAAAACCAATGCATTTTTTTTCTTCCCATTTCTTTTCTTGCAGTGCGGACTGGTCCATAGATGCCTTGTTACATAAGTGGGATCTGAAGTGCATTAATGTTCCATTAGAAACATTCGATGCAAACAAAAACCATCTCGCTGGATCAACGCTTCCAGGGAATCATACTGTACAAATGATGATTATAACAAGACAAGTGTTTTAATACATGTGTTTGAATTTCATAAACTTGTATATAATCTGAAAATCTTTTTCCAATTCTTTCCAACTCCATCCAGCACATTACATCATGACCTGATAAAGTTCTGCCCTGCATTTTCCTCCTCCACTTCAAAATGCCAGATTACCAAAATGTTTATTAGAAATTATGCTAATATACACAATAAATTAAGCACATTTTGCTACGACATTAAGACGTAAGGATTTAATATTTCATTTATTGAAGATCCAAAAATAAAGCGACAGAACAAAGTTCATCGTATAGTTTAAGATACTCCAAATTTTCCAAATCGCGGAACAAAGTAAACAAACTTTGTAAGACGACAGCATTTATGCCACCAAAAATGTATTTGCAGGTGCTGCTTGACCTTGGCCACACCTCCAACAGCTGAAATCTGGAGAAAACCGGAAACAGCCAAGCACTCAGCACTGCAACACCGGATCTTAACAGCTAACCGGCAAAACTCAACAGCTAGACAACTGCGCCTAGTGCCCAAGAAATACACAAGACATTGGGTTAGAATCCAAATATCACACACCAAAGGCCATCAGCACTGTAATATACAGTAATAAGAACACAAGATATTCATACTATTTCCAAACCATTTCAAAATAAAGCACAACAACAATTTGAAGCATTGGCAAATTAAAGCAAATTTGACCACAAATGCCAAATCTAAATCAATTTCTATACAGTGTCTTACAAAAGCGACACAATCGAGGTGCAGCTAGCACACTCTGAACCATCACGCAAACAGCTTTACCTTAAAAGGCCAATAGAATTGTGACACTCGTCCTACTCAACGAATTAAAAAGGACATACACGTTTAAAAAAAAAACTCACTGAAAATAGGAACAATGTATACAAAGAACAAAGGGCTGTATAACTATCGAACAGTTTGAATATGCCAATCAGTCATAATGACCTTTAGGCCCATGTAGCCATTGTGTAGGTTTCAGGGTTTTCAATCCGAGGTTCCTCAGGCTCCAACTGAGGTCACGCATGTAGAATCGCCCCACGATGAGACAGACCTGAGAGAACACAAAACTGTGGTCAGACGTGTGATGAACAGTGTTGGGGGTAACGCATTACAAGTAACGCGAGTTACGTAATCAGATTACTTTTTTCAAGTAACTAGTAAAGTAATGCATTACTTTTTAATTTACAAGAAAATTACAAGTTACTGTTTCAAAAAAGTAATGCCAGTTACTTTGTTTTCCCATTTATTGACAGCTCTCCTGTCCCCATATTGGGAGAAATCGAAAGTACAGAGGCGTTGTGTGTGCTGTGTGAACATGATGTTACTGTAGTTCTAGACTAAATGTGAATGTGCATTAATTCATCCCACTCGCAAAAAAAAACAACTGATTTAGTATTCATCAAAATGAATTAAAACAGTGAAATGCAAACTCAGAATATGACGCAAACCTGCAATAATTAAATATGTTAAATAACACAAATGTATCTAATCCCATTTTATTAACCAAATTCTTTGCTGCTGACCTTTGATGATCCAGTTCAACCATACTAATAAGCAAAAATTACTCTAGACAAACATTTGTGTGCCTTTGTTTATTGCTGAAGTGTGTTGAAATTTCTTCTTCTTCATTCTACTGTACGAACGTAAATTTACTTTCCCTTCAGCCTGAGGCTTATTCATTTCACTTTTGGTGTGAAAAGGCTTTTATATTTGCCAAAAATAGAACTTTTTTATTTATATATATATATATATAAATAAATATGACTACACAAGCCAGTTTCCTGAGATTTCGGACAGTATCATCTAGGGCTGGGCAGTATGACGTCCGCGCACACGTGCTCATAATGGTCAAATTTACAATGGCTTCATGTGTCTCTCATTGAATCAGAATTATAATACTGGTCTTATAAAGTTTCTTGGTCTTTATAATGTAAAAATTTGTTTAATACTTTTTTGTTTTTAACTAGTGTTGCAACAGTTTAACATTATGTATCCAAAGAGAGTATAATTATAGATTATTATAAATGTTTTTAAATGTATTTTTATATATTTTTAATATATTTATATTTATATAAATATACACACTGCCGTTCAAAAGTGTGGGATCAGTAAGATTTTTTATGTTTTTTTTTTTTTTTTTTTTAAGAATATTCTTCTGCTTATCAAGGCTGCATTTATTTGATCAAAAATACAGTAAAAACTGTAAAATTGTGAAATACTATTTCAATTTAAAATAACTGTTTTCTATTTTAATATACTTTAAAATATAATTTATTCCTGTGAATCAAAGCTTAATTTTTAGCATCATTACTCCAGTCTTCAGTGTCACGTTCCTTCAGAAATCATTCTAATATGCTGATTTATTATCGATGTTGAAAACTGTTTCTGCTGCTTCAGTCTTTTGCAAGAAATGCTGTTCTTTTGTAACTTTTTATTCATCAAAGCATCCTGAAAATTGTATCCCTGTATCACAGGTTCCCCAAAAAAATATGAAGCAGCAAAAACTTATTTTCATCATCGATAATAAATCAGCATATTAGAGTGATTTCTGAAAGATCATGTGACACTGAAGACTGGAGCAATGAAGCTGAAAATTCATCACAGAAATAAATTATATTTTAAAATAAATTAAAATAGAAAACAGCTATTTTAAATTGTAATATTTCACAATTTTACAGTTTTCTTGATCAAATAAATGCAGCCTTGATGAGCAGAAGAATCTTTAAAGGGTAAGTTCACCCAAAAATGAAAATTAGCCCATAAATTACTCACCCTCAAGTCATCCTAGGTGTATATGACTTTCTTCTTTCAGACGAATCCAGTCAGAGTTATATTAAAAATGGTCTTTGATCTTTCAAGCTGTTTAATGCCACTCAGCGGGTGTTGCATGCATCCGTCCAAAAGCAGTTAAATAAAATGCGCCCATCCATAAAAAAAAGTGTCTCACGCGGCTCCGGGGGGTGAACAAAGGCCTTCTGTAGCGAATCGATGCGTTTTTGTAAGAAAAATATCCATATTCAAAATGTAATAATCACTTTAATGTAGCTTGTGCTCACTGTTGTAAACTAAGCAGTTCCGGGGGAATGACGTATGAGGTCAGAGCTGCGCCTGCGCGGCTCAGAAGTGACGAACGCGGAAGCGCAGCGGAGAGATCAAATTGTTCACCCCCCGGAGCCGTGTGAGACACTTTTTTTTTTAATGGATGGGCGCATTTTAATTAAGTGCTTTTGGACTGATGCATGCAACACCCGCTGAGTGCCATGAAACAGCTTGAAAGATCAAAGACAATTTTTAATATAACTCCGACTGGATTCGTCTGAAAGAAGAAAGTCATATACACCTAGAATGACTTGAGGGCGAGTAATTTATGGGCTAATTTTCATTTTTGGGTGAACTAACCCTTTAAAAAACATTAAAAATATTACTGATCTCAAACTTTTGAACGGCAGTCTATGTATATGCATATGTGTGTGTAGTGTATCGATCTCAAATAAATAGTAAAAAAAATACATTTTTAAATAAAATACATAGTATGGTAATTTTATACTATGTTCATGATATAAAATTACTCATACCATAACGCAATTATGTTTATTCACATTTCCAGCTTTAAGTAAGCAGCTGGCAGCAAGTTCTGTTTTACTTTTTACTAAGGCAGGACGCTGTCTGTCCGTAGTCTCGTACACTTACCTCAGCACCACCAAAACACCCATCTGCTTCAAAGAAATCCCAACAGGAGCAGGTAGCTGGATCACATACCCCTCTACCAGCTCAAACTGCACCACACAGCCCTGCTTTTACATTGCCATACTGGATTCAGCAACTTGGAGGAAACAATTCCACATTGAGTTCAACACCATTCACAGCATTGTCAAAGCAGAACCAAATCCTGCTGTGCAAGTCAAATTTTTACCAGTGCGATGCGACTGCAAGTCTGAACTATATTCCTGCACATTATTCCAGTGAATTGCAGCACAGGTAGGTGTCGTGTTTTCTCACCAATGAAGAGATTTAGGATGCAGGCCCTTCTTCGCCAGCAGATTTCGGTTGGCTTTTAGACCTTGACCTGGACTTAGAGTTTCTGTTTGACGCAGGTGTGCGGCTTCTGGAACGAGACCTGGATTTGGATCATGAACCTGACCTAGACCTGGAAGGAGACTTGGACTTCCTCTTGCGGGGCGTGTGTGACTTTGAGCGAGAGCGGGAGCGGGAATAGGAGCGTGACCGTGACCTGCTGTAACGGGAATGAGAGCGGCTCCTGCTTCTGGAATGGCTGCGTCTCCGACGCCTCGGACTGTGGGTGAAGATGAAGAAAAATCATCAGTGTTGGGGAAGTTACTTATATTCTCCTCTATATACTCCTTAAAAAAAGTAACTAATTACGTTACTTAGTTACTTTTAATGGAAAGTAATGTGTTACGTTACTTTTAAGATACTTTTTAAATCTGGTCATGGCTTGCTTCTTTGTTTTTAATATAAAAAAGTTCTTCTTTTACAAATGTAAAAGACCTTTCACACCAAAAGTGAAACGAATACAGGAGAAGAAAGTTTAACACTATTCAGCAATAACAAAAATGAAATACAAATGTGTTATTTTTGCCTATTAGTAATGGTCGAATTGGATCATCGAAGGTCAGTAGCAAAGACATTGGTTAATAAAATGGGATTAGATGCATAAATGATACTTGTCATATTTAACATATTTAGTTATTGCAGGTTTGTATAATATTTTGAGTTTACATTTCAATGTATTTATTCATTTTGAGGAATACTGAATCGGTTTTTGTGCAGTGAGATGAGTAAATGCATGTTGACACTTAGTCTAGAAGTACAGTAACATGTTCACACAGCGCAAAAAACGCCTCTGCACTTACTCCTGCTTTCTCTCAACATGCGTACAGACAGGAGAGCTGTCAGTCAATAAAGTGGAAAACAAAGTAACTCAGATATTTTCTTCTAAATTAAAAAGTAATGTGTTTACTTTACTAGTTACTTGAAAAAAAGTAATCTGTAATTACGTTACTTAGTTACTTTTAATGGAAAGTAATGTGTTACGTTACTTTTAAGATACTTTTTAAATCTGGTCATGGCTTGCTTCTTTGTTTTTAATATAAAAAAGTTCTTCTTTTACAAATGTAAAAGACCTTTCACACCAAAAGTGAAACGAATACAGGAGAAGAAAGTTTAACACTATTCAGCAATAACAAAAATGAAATACAAATGTGTTATTTTTGCCTATTAGTAATGGTCGAATTGGATCATCGAAGGTCAGTAGCAAAGACATTGGTTAATAAAATGGGATTAGATGCATAAATGATACTTGTCATATTTAACATATTTAGTTATTGCAGGTTTGTATAATATTTTGAGTTTACATTTCAATGTATTTATTCATTTTGAGGAATACTGAATCGGTTTTTGTGCAGTGAGATGAGTAAATGCATGTTGACACTTAGTCTAGAAGTACAGTAACATGTTCACACAGCGCAAAAAACGCCTCTGCACTTACTCCTGCTTTCTCTCAACATGCGTACAGACAGGAGAGCTGTCAGTCAATAAAGTGGAAAACAAAGTAACTCAGATATTTTCTTCTAAATTAAAAAGTAATGTGTTTACTTTACTAGTTACTTGAAAAAAAGTAATCTGATTACGTAACTTGTGTTACTTGTAATGCGTTACCCCCAACACTGAAAATCATAGATTATTGCTATAGAGTTTGAATACAGACCTGCAGTCACTTGCTTTGTTCCACTAATGAATGAGCTATTTTGAACAAATCAGTTGAATGAATGATTCAATGACTCACTCTTCAAAATAGTAACTTGTCTACACCTACTAGAAGTTTTAGGGGTGTTTACATGACAGTTTTCAACAAAAAACGATAAACATTTCATGCATTTTCATTTACATGACAATGGCGTTTTGGGTGCCTGAAAACGCAAACTTTCAAAAATGAGTTTTTGATACAGTTATTAGTGCAAGACAAGCATTTGTGGTTAAAAAGTATATACATTTTAATTTTCTTTAGAAACTGGCCGATAAGACCCTTATTCCTCGGCTGGGATCGTGTAGAGCCTTTTGAAGCTGCACTGAAACTGCAATTTGGACCTTCAACCCATTGGCCACCATTGAAGGCCACTATATGGAGAAAAACTCTGGAATGTTTTCCTCAAAAACCTTAATTTCTTTTCAACTGAGGAAAGAAGGACATCTTGGATGACGTGGGGGTGAGTAAATTATCAGGAAATTTTTATTCTGGAAGTGAACTGATCCTTTAATTTTATGTTGAAAAATATTTCATTTTGTCTCCACGTTATGTTTCAAAATGTTACACTTAAAACATTATGCATATTGTTATAAGATAATATTTTTGCAGTTTTAATTGCAATGTAAATGCATTCATGCGAAAACACTAAGATGCTCAGACTTCTAGTCAACTTACACTCGACTTGTTACATCTTATTAAAATTAACAAGGACATTAAGAAACAAGACTAAGACAGAAATATAACAGAAATATTCCAAACTGTAGTTGTAGTAGATCATTTTTCAGAGATGCAAACAGGTAAGGGGGAAAAAAGGTGAGAACATTGCGCGAATCAGGGGCATGCTCCACACGGAACTTCTTTAAAGATATTTGCTTTACATGCTCATTTGTAGTTACTTGAAGCTATTTTTTTTTATTACCTTATATTTCCAAAACTGTAATTTTGCAGCAAAACAACAACAACATTTTTAAACATCTTGGGGGGGGGCTACTCACACCAATTCACACCTGTAAATCAGAATTACCAGCCTGAGCCCGTCTCTTTCCCCCCTTCTCCCAAAATAGCTTATACTACTGTTTCAGCTATTAAAAACGACCAAGCGGCCAGCGGCAGACAGTGAGCTGAATTTAGCCTTCTCAAATCATCACGACTTGCCTAAAATAAAATCTATAGATATAAAACAGTTCAAGCATATACCAATGTTTAAACGTTAAACCTAGATAAATGTGCGCTGTATGATCCAATATTTTGTGCGGAGACGCTTTGCAGGACATGGAGGCGCCAGCGCGATCACTTGCATTTTTTTCAGTGGATACGCCGTCATTTTTACTCATAAAGGTAAGAGTAATGCATCATTCGTACTTTGTGTGCACTCACAATATCAACAAAAACGTTGTGCTTTTATAAAATAAAGAAAACAAACATGATGCGCCTTCTGCCGTCTCGTCTTGAACAGGAGCGCTTCACAAAAATGAACCGAAACTCAGCAAATAGATGCCTCACAGACATGATAAATATATCTATAGAAAGCTTTCAATTGCAACTTAACGAAAATAAAAAACGAAAGAAAAAAAACTCTATCATTATAATCATAATCCTTAAAGATGCACTTCTCTCTAAAGGCGCGTCTAATGAGGAGATGGCGAGTCAGGATCGGCAACTTCATCCTTGCGACACCGACTCAGAAAACACTAGTTTATTAGTAAATAACTCAAATATCTCCTTACTATTTACCCGTCACATTTGTGGCAATTACAATTTACAAATTTTTTTCATCACTAATTGATGGATGTCTAAAATATAAAAATAAGGAGAAGCCTAAAACAGGCCCGAGGCCCGGCCCGCGTTTGAACTATGACGTGAAAATTGGCCCGAAGCCCGGCCCGAGGGGCGTAAAAGTGTCTGAAATGCAGGGCTCTAGTTCGGCTACAGAAATAAGTTTTTCAGCTATGAGGAGAATAAGAAACTGGCTCTGATCTAGCACACATAGAACGATTTGACTGAAAATGTATCAGAAGAGATGAAAGAAAGATAGTGGTCATCTACGCCAGAGGTCCCCAACCACGGGGTCGCGACCCACTATCGGGCCGTGGAAGAATTGCTTCCGGGTCGCAAGAATGTTCTGTGAAAAATGTGTATAGATATGACACTCTGTTATTTATGTTAATGATTGTTCTAATTATTCTGTACTTTCTTTGTATGCGATTGATATGGAGTAGCAATTTGACAATTTCATGTTAAATAAGTAGCTAAATGAAAGATTGCTCTGATCTGTCACATATTAGGAGTTAAACGGATCGCAGTTGATCCGTAATACATACGGATGAGACCCTACCGTTCGGCACGCACGTGATTCGCAGATTAATTTGCCAATTTACACTTACAAGCAATTTTACACACACTTAAAAGTCGATTCGCGTATCCCAGCACAAAACAAACACCAGTGGCCGATGACGCTAGCACAACAATGAGCGGCATGCGCATGCACACTCACAAAATGGCGCGTTCTGTAGTTCCAAAAGCCGGAGGAGAAGGTGCATTCACGCCATATCGGAATTCCCGTAATTACGAGATTCCAACTTATAAAAAGCGTTCACGGTCTCGTAGAACTTGTAATTACAACTTGTGAACTGGGAGTTTTCTGAGAGCTACTGCTGCATTCAAGTCCTCCTGGGACGTTCATACTTACGAGTTGACAAGTCGTAATTACGACGTCAGGTGCGTTCAAGTCAGTTTAGTCGGCACAAGATGGCGGTGTACCTTCTTTTAATAAATTACAAGAAAATACAACAGGGTCTGTTAACTCTGCTTATAGAAAATGAAGAGCACTTGGATTTCATTAACTAGCTGCGTAACAAGAACATGACCAATTAAACTATCAATTTAAACAAAAATTTACAGACGTTGCATCCATCGATTTCGCCATGTTTCTCATTGACACGCCCCCAACTCGGAAACTCGGGGCTTAAAGAAAATTTCGAGTTTCCCACTAGTAATAACGACTTTGTGGTGGCGTTCATGTGCGTTCAACTCGTAAATACGATCTATCCGACATGACTTGAACGCACCATGCGACTTGTACCACGTGACTGCTGTACCACCTGACCACCTAGGCGTTGATAGTGTTGCCATATAAAAGCATTCGAATGGGGGTTTTATTGAATAAACATTTTACATGCACTTTCGTTCAAATGCAGATACTGAACATTATACAAGTATGTATACAAAAATAAAAGAATACATCAAATGAAGGAAAGAAAGAAAGAAAGAAAGAATATTTCCTAATAATGTAAAGATCAGAAAAAAGGAACAATGGGGCATAAAATATCAACAGTCAACAAAATAAACTGCATTTTGCATTTGTTGCATTTGTGAATGTGACGATTGGTCAAAATATATAATTAAACTAATTAAATAAAAGCATTTTAATCCTCTCTAGAATATTCAGTGAAGCCAAAAAGTATATTTTCCCATAAAAGTGAGAGTCTCATTTTGGAAGACTGAATATTTTGATTGTTGCACATTTCTGTATCTTACATCACAACATAACTGTGATAAATTGACTTGTAAATAAGTACGAGCCAAAATAAAAACAAAGCTTTTTAATGATTGGTTTGATGAATAGTTATTTTCAGAAAATACAGTTTATATTCATCTCTTTTTAAACTTTCTGTAAGTAATGATTGTTGCATAAAATCTATAAGTCTAAAGGTGTATACTTTTTAATTTATTTTGAATAAAGATTAGGCTATAGGACTTTTTTTGAACCCTCTGTTGTTGTTTTTATTAATATAGATAACTAAATAAGGACTATATGTGAGAGCTTGTACGTTGCTCTGCTGACTAGCAACAAAGCAAATTAAGAGATACTCTAAATTACATCTAACTTAAACAGTTTATACAAACTACTAACTATATGTTTTTAAATAAATATTTTTAATGAATATCTATCAACAGTAAATTTCCCAGTTTATCTCAGCGCCTCAAGTACTCACCGACGGAAAAACTACACTACCCACAAATCCGTTCGTGGAGGAGGAGGATGACGTCACCGTCAGCTGACAGGTGTCACATGACAGACATTTTTTATTTCAGAGACAGGTAGAGCGTTTCCGAGCAGTCGGAAACAAATATATATATATATTTACGTTTACCAGCTTTACAAAATGTTTTTTTTCCCCCCATATCGAAATCGCCTTGATCAACAGGTGTTCACATTATGAATTAGCTGAAATTAATCATCAGCGCACCCAAGTATTCGGTAAGTTTACTGAGCACAATTACTACTGCAGTCCGTCTCCATTCAAAAGCCTAAATAATATGACTAATCATTTACTAAAAAGACATTATTTAATGAAACACATGATTTATTCCCATCACACATGTTGTACAATAACTGTTTCGGTACAAATGAACATCCTTCAGAGCTGTTTGGTCTCATGAGGAAGCAGTGATCATATGCAGCATATGAAAAATAGCATGGTCACGTTTTTAAGCAGTTGTGTCAGGTGCCACTTGACTTTGATGCGTCTGTGTGTTCACTAGTCTCAGGTTGTCATCGAGCTAAAGACTGTAAGCCAACATGAGTCCAGAAGGAAAGACCCTGCTCAACATCATTATCCTGGGCTTGGGGTTCATGGTTATTTTTACTGCCTTTGGCACCTGCGGGAATATTGAAGTAGGTTTTGAGCTTTTTCAGACTTTGAAATGCATGATCTGATGAATGCTATCATATCAGATTTGCCTGTATGCAAACCAACATTTTCACTTTTCCCAGCAAACCGTGATAAAGAGTTTCAACAGTACAGAGTTTCATGGAAGTGGCTACACAAGGTATTCGTTTTCTTCATTTATTCCTTCTGTCATTAGAGCACAATGGTGGCCACCCACTTTTTCAGTGGCCTTGGTGCCAGAAGTAACTTTCTCATTCACTTTTTTTTCAATGGGTATTAAAAAAATGTAAAGTATATAAAGTTGCAAGACTGTGCGCTTGACGTCTTTTATGCTAAAGTTAATTGCATAAGCATTGCAAATGACATAAAAAATGGCAGTTACTTAAAACTGTTAACATAGGAATTTATTCAAAATGATACAAAAATTGTAATTGAAGTGTCTTGTAAAATATCCACAAACACGTATAAACAGGGAACAGGATTTTTACTGTCAGAATCCCACGGTTGTGCTCTATTTCTGCTCAGGTCATGTGACATGTTTTGGCCTCTGCACCCTTTTTGAATGAGATTTATGATGGCTGAGTTAAAGATGAAAATCGGGTCATCTGATGTTGTGCTGTAATCTAATGAATCTCTCTTTGACCTCAGTAATCACATTGACCATGATTATGTAACAAAGAAGTACTGTCTGCTCTCAAAAAAAAAAGAGAGAGAGAAAGGAATGCGGTTAGCATGTGACCGTGTCAACAGTTATGACACTTGTTCGGCACAGACTCCATTTTTTTCCCTGAGAAATTTGATCATTTTGCCAAAATGTTTGTTTGTTTATTTATTTGTGATTGAAGAGAAATATTCAATATTCTACATACACAAAAGGCCTATTTCTCTCAAATATTGTTCACAAATCTGTCTAAATCTGTGTTAGTGAGCACTTCTCCTTTGCCGAGACAATCCATCCACCTCACGGTAATACTTTATCTGGTGTGGCTTTATCAGGATATTATCATAACTGTGATGTTAGGGTAGTTGTAACACTGGTTATGAAATATACAGTATATATAAGTCGGGTATATATAAGTATAGTATAATATAGTATATAAGTATATATAAATAGGGTCAGAGCAGCAATGGTGTGAGGACCCTCTTGGAATTGCTCTGTTTATTAATATTTAAATTGTTGAATGAACTGTATTAATCTTTAAAAAAAAAAAACCTGATTCGTCATTTTTGTATTATGAATGCATATTAATATTGATTCTTTTGAGGTGTGTACATATGTGAGATGTATTGGGTTAATATTTTTTCTATAAAACACAATGCTCTTGGAATTGCTCTGTTTATTAATATTTAAATTGTTGAATGAACTGTATTAATCTTTAAAAAAAAAAACCTGATTCATCATTTTTGTATTATGAATGCATATTAATATTGATTCTTTTGAGGTGTGTACGTATGTGAGATGTATTGGGTTAATATTTTTTCTATAAAACACATTAATTAGTAATATTGTATTTATTTTGATGATCACTATTAATTAAAATACCACCCTTAACACATGCTTCTCATACTTCTCTTCTAGCATGGCGATTATCTATGCCGTATTCTCTGCGTCTAACCTTATAGCGCCCTCGGTGATAGCTGTCATTGGACCTCAGTTGTCTTTGTTTTTTAGTGGACTTGTTTACAGGTAAATGCCTAAAGGACTCAATTTAGTAATAGTAGTAGTAATTTAGTAATAAATTAGTAATTTATGATAAAGTATTTATTAAAAAGCCTTAATCTGTGCTCTCTTTTAGTGGTTATATTGCTGTTTTCATTCATCCGTACACCTCGTCATTCTACACTTTATCTGTGTTGCTTGGAATCGCCGCTGCAGGTGCGATATCATTATCGGCTCAGTTATGAAATCCTATTTTGTAATCACACACTCTCTAAAGCTTTCTGCTAACTTTGTGTCTTGCAGTGCTCTGGACAGCCCAGGGGAATCTGCTCACCATCAACTCCAAAGATTCCACCATTGGGAGAAACAGTGGAATATTTTGGGCATTGATGCAGTTTAGGTACATCTTGCTTGTTGTCATTAAGTATGTGTGGAAGGAAAAAGAGAACACGAGGAACAGTGATTCATTGATTCTCTTTTATTCACAGCTTATTCTTTGGTAATCTCTACATATTTTTTGCCTGGCGTGGCAAGAGTCACATAACAGGTGAGTATGTTTTATATAATAAACTATGGCAGCCACTTTGGTGGAAATCACTCCACAAATTATTGTAACAATAATTATTGGTTGAAATAAATTAATTTTTTGCTTATTTTGTATACAAAAAAAGAGACTGTAAAAGAAACATCAATGCAAAATCATTTCTGAATGGTTAGACAGAATTATAATTTAGGTCTCTGGTGAAAAACGTTATTTCTTGGTGTCAGATAAGGACCGTCAGACGGTTTTCATCACACTCACGGTCATCAGCCTGGTAGGCAACTTCCTTTTTTTCCTGATCCAGCGACCAGACCCAGAACCGGCACCTTCTGATGCTTCTGAGTCACTTCTACCAGCAGACATCTCTGATAGTAACTCTGTGGTGTGAGTGTATATTTTTATGCACTTCTGCAAGTCAAGACATTTTTCTGGACCAGTTTAATCATATTGTATTGTGTGGTTTTTTTCTTTGTCTCGTTTCCTGTTCTTGTTACTCTTTTAAGTCCATCCCAGAGTCTGTGCTCTCAAGCATTCGAGGCATTCAGTAAGTGGTACTAAATTATATAAAATATATTCAAAGATTTAAAATTGTGTTTTAAAGCATATTATTAACTTCTTGTTTCATTTATAAGATCTATTTCTTTTCAACAGAGAAATCCATACAGCTGGCTATGACCAAAGAGATGCTTTTACTGAGCATACCCTTTGCGTACTCTGGTAAGTTCAGTCTCTCAAAGGAAAATCAGTTTGGTAGCAGTGGTAATTCACACCATAATGACAGATAAAGAAAGCAGATTATGAAAAGAAGAGGGCCCAAAACAGAACCCTGGGGGACCCCTTTAGTATAAGGGGGATTTGTTCTTCTAGATAATAATAATAATATACACTATATAATCTGTCTGGTAGCAGTGGAAATTCACACCATGATGACAGATGAATAAAGCGGATTATGAAAAAATGAGGGCCCAAAACAGAACCCTGGGGGATCCCTTTAATAGCAGGGGGATTTGTTCTTCTAGATACTAATAAGAATAAGAATATATTATTATATGCTATATAATAATATATGTAATGTAAGTTTTACTGTTTTTAGTATTTTTTTAACAAGAATTGTTATTATTAACAAAAAGTGTATTTTCCTTTGGTTTGTGTCCAAGTTACATAAAATTCGACAAATAAGCACCATTTTTTTAAAAGCATGCTGTTCACTGGATTATCCAAACATAGGTATTACTACAGTACATGGATAAAAATAACTATATTGCGATATGTACCATTATAGTGATGTAGAAGACTACCTGAACTGTAATGTTGAGACAATGTGGTTGCCTGTCTGTCCAGGTCTCGAGCTCACCTTTTACAGTGGGGTGTATGGGACATGTTTAGGGGCCATGACTCAATTTGGAGACGATGCCAAGGGTCTTATCGGCCTCTCTGGAATTTTGATAGGTGTTGGTGAAATACTTGGTAAGTCAGTGCATTACAATTATTGTGCTTCAGTTCTCTGGGGACATGGCAAATGTAATAAGCTGTTTTCTCTGCTTAACCAGGCGGGGGAGTATTTGGGATCCTGGATAAGTGTAATCGTTTCGGCAGAAACCCGGTGGTGTTTTTGGGCCTGTTCACCCATATTGTGGCATTCTTCCTCATCTTCCTCAACATAGCCAGTGATGCTCCCGTGGCCCCAGAGGAAGGCACACAAATGCAAGCTTTTATCCAGCCCAGGTAAAAGTTACAGTACAGGACTTTCCAACAAGGATGAGCAGTGAGAATAGAGTCAGACATAAAGATGCACTAACTGTTTATTAACACTTTTCTGGCTTGTTTTGTCAGTGTGACTGTGGCGCTGATATGCAGTTTCCTGCTGGGTCTGGGTGATAGTTGTTTCAACACTCAGCTCATCAGCATTGTGGGCTTCTTGTTCAGGGAGGACAGTGCTTCAGCATTCGCAGTCTTTAAATTTGTTCAGGTTTGAACCTTCCTTTTATTAAAGTGGTTTAATTGTTAGCATCAGAAGTATTTAAATAGTTTGATGTAAAAATCCTATGGGAAAATGGTTGGGTCATATTTCATTCAAATATCAAAAAAACGCAATAAGAAACTTTGATTTTTCTTTCAAAAATGAAGTCTGTTCTTATTTTATTTTATTAGTCAGAATAAATGAAAAATTAGACAAATGTATGTGTATGAGTAGTATGTGTTTATGGCCCATGATATATATTTCTTCCTCCTGTCTCTGCAGTCCATCACAGCTGCGGTGGCCTTCTTCTACAGCAACTATTTTCTCCTGCACTGGCAGCTGCTCATTATGGTGCTGGCGGGCTTCCTGGGCACCATTACTTTCTTTGTGGTGGAGTGGGGCATTATCAGCAGTCGACGGGACTCTGATTATGACAGTATCTGATAGGAAGAGTTAGAAGGACTGAAGTGCCAGAACGACCATCTCATCTCCAGCCATCAGACACCCAAAAATGAAACATCTGTCATGATTTACTCACCCTCAGGTTCATAGGGTGTTGTTTTGTGGAACACGAGGGGAGTTTTCTGAAGAATCTTCATGCAGCTCATTTCACCACAAAGACAGTTCATAGTGACCACAGATGTCAAGCACTGAAACGAACATGAACATGCCATAAAAGTGGTCCATACTACTCATGCACTATATTACAAGTTTTCCGAAGCCCTACAATTGCTTTGTCTCAGGAACATATTGAAATGTAAGCTGATAAACTTCCCTCCTGTCAAAGCTCTAAAATCAAATCCACATTCAAACATGCCGCTTTAACTCTTTGCATGAGGTTCAGCCAAACTCTATTGGTCTTTGTATGTGTCGTAAACGAACACAACTTACCTGTTTGAATTCAAGGAATGAGATTTGCGAGCTGGGGCCTTAGTTGACCTAAATTTCAGTCTGATCCTCAAAGAAAACTATTACATGACATCAGACAGAGTGCATTAGACATATTTATTGGTCCATTTTGGAGCTTGTCAGATGTGGTCACTTTGAATTTTGTTGTGTGTAATGAGTCCTCTGAAATTCAGCTTTTTTTGTACCATGAAATCCAAAAATTAGGTTATGTAAATGAAGACAGAGGTTTTTTAGGTGAACTACTCCTTTAAGTAGTTATTGAAGTTCTACTTAAACTCAGTTATTGTAAAGAAGTCTTAGTGCAAATGCAATAAATCACTTAAATGTACACTACGCTGTGAGACTATAGATGAGAAATATGATTAAAGACTATTTTATTTAACTACAAAATCAGTATCAGCGTGAAACACTCAATGCACAGTCAGTAATTAAATTAGAATGTCTTGTTTATTTGAATTATTTTGCCAGTTGCCTTTGCCTGACGGAAACAAACGCAGAAGAATGACAACCTGTCTTGGTATGAAATGGTGATACAGTGTGTGTGCATATATACTAGCATTCAAAAGTTTGGGGTCAGTAAGTTTTTTTTTTTTTTTTTTTTTTAAGAAAACAATTTTGCCAAAGATTGAAGCACTCTGTAGAAATTTGCTTTATTTTTTTAGGTTTGTCCTTATTTGTGTGAAGTGCGCAAATATGTCAATGAAACCGATTGCTGATGTAATCGATAGAAAACAGAAAGAATGACTTGGGAATAATTTTTTGTAATTGCAATTAAACTAATATCAAGCTGGGCTTAAGTCAACATGCCATTGTAAATAATAATGCATTGAGAAAGGGTTCAGAAAGACTCTTAATACATTTACAATACGTATGTTACGAGCTCATTTGCATGGGAGTAGGAGCTACATGTACGTTATTACGGTGTAAACGGTTCAGAGCAATCTATAGGATGATGAGGGAAAATGTGACAAGAATATCTGGTCGTATACTTGAATGTATTGTACTGTAAAAATGGTAATGGCGCCTGGATATTCTGTTTTCTTTTATAAATATGTGTATATATGGGATTAAAGTCCTTTTTGAGCCTTTGACTCTTGCCTATGTCTTTTTGCAAGCTATATGATACAGCTGTTTTACAGTAACAAGTGTTTTGTTGTGGGACAATGACAAACAAGGATGTCCAAGAAGATGAAAGATCTTAAAAATATATAATATTTGTATTCACAATGGTTTTATATATTTAAAAAAATAAATAAATAAAAACTCTAGCATTTTCAACAAAAGATGAACTAATAAATGCTGTAAGAATCATGTTTATTATTACTTTATTATTTTAAATTGAAAGAAAAAAACATTAAAACATAAAATATTTAAAGTATAAACTATACCAATCTACTTCACAGTTTGGCATAGTGATAATTTCAGCACTTCTTTGGGACTTTACAATGTATTGATGTTTGACACTTATCACCCACAAAAATAACTTTTAAATCATATCTTTGTCTACATTTATTATATATAATGTATGTTTTTATTTGATATATGTTTTAATAAACATCTGATCTGACATATATGGCAATACATGTCACTGGCTTTAATGTAAGAAATATGCCAAACCGTGTAACTGGTAGAAATCATTATTTTGCAATAAGTATACATTAAGTATTTTATTAATAAGAACAATCTTGATAAGGTTAAACAGCAGCTCATCAAAATCTATTATGGAAAAATGTGCTTGTAAATATAAACTGCAGCAAAGCATTTGTGACAATTTGTGACATACCTTTTAGATAAAAATGGAAGAAACATAAACTACTGTACATAACGATTTTGGGCTTGACATGGAGAATTTGAATATGAAGGAAAACTTTTTTTTTTTTTTTAGGTTGGATGACCTATGTCAATAATGACAAAGATAGATTTATTTTTATACAGTTTTTTATTATTATTATTATTTTGGGACAAAGAAACATTCATAGGAAGAAATGGTCAAGTTCCAGGTCAAATTTCCAACAGTTCCTCTAAGAACCAACCAAATAGATAAATAACTCAATTTAACTCAAAGAAAACGGAATTATTTTGTTTTGTTTCGTTTTTTTCGTGAATATGTAATATTTTATTTATGAATGCATGTTTTGTACACTCTGGCTGTTTGTGCAGGACAATGTTGTCGTGAAAATAAAACGGAGAAAATCCGTTTGTTTGTTACTTTTATCATCATCACACTATATCATTTCCCTTAGAAATATAAATAATGTAAATCTGCATAATGTGTACAGCTGTTCATCGCTCTCCGCTCTCACGTGCACTACCGATGCTGCCACTGAATCAGTTGCTGAGCAACCAAGACGCCGCGGCTCACAACAGAAAGTAATTTCTGTTGATCGACAGGGACGTTATCCAATGAGGATAGAGAAGACAAGTGACGCGAGGCATTTTAACCAATCAGCATCGTCGGTAGGCGGGGAGAGCGTAAAGAGAAGAGCAATCTTTATACAATTTAGCAAAGCAAAGCTGCCGGTAACGTGCGAATTAAAGGATGAACAAACGCCGACAGATTTTAGACGCCACTACTAAAGAACTTAGCATAATTTTACGACGCTCACAGAAATGAGAAAACAGCTTAGAGCGTTACAACTCAGTGATTATGTTTGAAAACAGATAGAATTGGAACTCGCGTAGCGTACCTGTTTGGAGAGATGTAACTCAAACAGACAGATCTGTGATTGACAGCACCTTATTCATCGTCTTTTAAACCGGACTAAACAGTCGGCGACCATGTCGACCGACATAAGCCTGCATGAGCTGGTGGATCTCTCCATAGGAACCCCAGACGTTGGATCTGTCAATTTCAACGCGCTGCACACTTTACTGCACGCCATCCTGGGACACCTGAAGATCGAGAGGGTCACGACCACCTGGAAAGAGGTGGACCACGACCATGACAGCCCAGCCCAGACTAAAGCCTTGCTGCTGGACACTTCGAGCCCCTACAGGGCGATGGAGGAGAAGCTGCGGCGGATGGAGGAACAGATGTGCGCGCTGGAGGCTCTGCCCAGCGCCTCGGAGCTCATGAAGTCCGACACCGCGCTCAGCGACATGTGGACGCTCATGCAGCTCCGCAGAAAGGCGCAGGCCAACGAGGACGGGGTGTCCAAGGTAAGAGTCACCTCTGCAGGCAGGAGGAAACAACAAAAAGTACTACTCTGTACTCTGGTTTGCTTGAAAGTACCACACAGTATATTTTAAAAAAACCATGGTAACGCCACTGTACCACAGAACACACTACTGCCATGCTTATTATGGTATATTGTTATGGTTAACATGGTAACACCATGTTTTCTGGACATTTACTGTGATTACACCAGGTTTTCTGGACATTTACTGTGATTACACCAGGTTTTCTGGACATTTACTGTGATTACACCAGGTTTTAAAGGGCACATTGCATGGAAGCATTATGTTTTAGGACATGAAGCAAGGTACTGTATGTGAATGATAATCATATTTGACCCTGGACCACAAAACCATAAGGGTCCATTTTTGGAAACGTTGCCACAGTTCTTCTGGATTTAGTCTGTCTCAGTTTGTTCTGTTTCTGATGATGATCAGATCAGATCTCTGTGTGGAGCACTGCTGTTGTCAGACAAAAATCTCACTGGGTTATTACAATTAATGGCAAAATTAATGTTTGGAAATGTAAACTGATATTTCCTACTGACACACTACAGCAAAAGATAGAAATAACTGCCTTAAAACCATTTTTAGCTGGTGAAATAGTCATTTTGGCCACAGCTGTATGTGAATGATAATCATATAAGCAGCATGTAACCTTACTGATAACATGGTATTTCCATATATATATATATATGCAAAGTAAAAAAAAATTTAAAAAATGTACTGGCAATTTTTTTGCCAGGATATTATCCTTTAATTTTACAGACATTTCCGTTAACCCTAAAATGCAACACAATGAAATGAAAAATTCAAAATACAGGTAAAACACCCTTTAAAAAATCAATATGCAAAAATCTTTCATTTTAATACAGTCCATTGTTCCCTGTTTTTACAGATATATTTAAGTATTTAAACTGAAAAGCATTTAAATGTCTTTTTAAAGTCATGGCAAAATTAATGTTTGGAAATGTAAACTGATATTTCCTACTGACACACTACAGCAAAAGATAGAAATAACTGCCTTAAAACCATTTTTAGCTGGTGAAATAGTCATTTTGGCCACAGCTGTATGTGAATGATAATCATATAAGCAGCATGTAACCTTACTGATAACATGGTATTTCCAACTTTTTGACAACCAAAAAAAAACAAAACAAATAATGGTAAGAAGGTTGTGAATTTATCCTCTTTCCTTATTCTTTTTTTTTTTTTTAAAACAAACACTTGTTAATCAGGACTGAGCACAATTCAAGTAATGTAAGTATTGGTAATTAAACTAGTTACTTAGATCATCTAAATACTTCAGTTAATTAAATTAGCCTATTAAGTATTGGTTCGTTTGAAATGGCCACACCCACGGGATGTTAGTTTGGATTTGAATTGTAATGACAGGAAGAGAAGGAATTTCATCAGTGACAAAACATGAATAATTTAAACATTATAATTGTGAATAATTATGCTAGTGTGTTCCCTGATATGTAAAATAGCCTACACGTTTCTCAAATTACAATGATAAAATGAAACAAATATTAACCTGTAAATGTGAATATGTGAATTATGCAATTATATTTTGTAATTATTTCGTACATCATTCTGGAAAATGAATAGTTCTTTCAATATGGTCTATAAAATGACAATTTCTGTTAACCCTAAACACAACAAAATTGTAAATACAGATAAAACACTTGTTTAAAAAAAGTATAGAACCATTTTTCATATTAATACAGTGCATTGTGCCCTATTTTATAGGTAAAACACCCTTTAAAAAATCAATATGCAAAAATCTTTCATTTTAATACAGTCCATTGTTCCCTGTTTTTACAGATATATTTAAGTATTTAAACTGAAAAGCATTTAAATGTCTTTTTAAAGTCTGAAAAAAAAAAAAAAAAAACTTTATCAAAGGTATTGTCAGTTGAGTTGTCATGTCCGGTGAGCTGCTCCTCTGTTGGGGGTCTGCAGGAGACTGAATGTTTCATCATTTGTCTCAGCTGTACAGTAGATGACTGATGACAGACCACAGAACAATGAGCGACAGACACTGAGCTCTATTCTCAAATAACACCATCTGTGTCTCGTGTTCCACAAACTACACGTTTGTCACACTCCCTAAACCCCTGAGATACTTAAATATCAGTGATGGACGTCAAATAACAGTTCCTGTTCACCACATGGACACATTTCAGAAGTGCTGCATGTTTATTTCAGACCAAACACAGTTCTGCTCAACACAGCTTGTTACCATATGTGGATTATATGGTGTATGATGAGGCATCATGAAAAAGTCTGGA